TTTACATTCTGGAAGCAAAAAATAATCACTTAAGGATTAATCTCTTATTTGCTATTAGGACAAGCTAGACTAGTCCTAGTGCTGCTGACCAGACTACCTAGAGTTGGCTAGTCATGCAAACGTGGAGGATTCACCAGCATTCGTTCACCATGTTAATAGATGTAAAGGAAGCAGATGTTTTATTGACCAGAATCCATACGTAATAGTTTGTGATCCTGACTATGAATGGTTGTGCTTGCAGTTACTTGAGGGAGGATGTTTCTGACAAGCATGAGTGTTTCTTTTGTGGTCAGGGTGCAAATGATAGAGCTGTATAAAATTCATAGCACTATTAGCTGCTCATCATAGTTACAGGAACTAAAGACCTGAGTGGAAAATTAAGAATTTATGCTGTTAATGGTTAAGTGCGAGATTACATATTTCATTCTGGCAAAATTAGGGAGGGGAAGAAAAAAACAACTTGCCTGATGCAAGTACCTCAGCCATGGCAGTGGTATAAGCCTCTGAAAGACAACAGAAACTGAAGGACCGTATTTCCTTTTTCAGAAGGTCCAGTCTTGGCTCTGCTGACTTCAAGGGCTCTGCCATTTTTACTTGGCACGCCAAGGAAAGTCAAATGTACCAAATCCTATTCCATCAACAAACAAACAAACAAAAAACCCCACAACCCGAAAACCTCAAGTCAAGTGCTCTGGCTGGAACAAATGCTAGAAAACTTGCAGTCAGTTAGGCTGTGACCACTGGTATTACCCTGTTCATGAAACTCTTTGTATCTTGCGGCCCCTGGAAAATCCAAAATACATGGGAAGGTGGGAAAAGTAAAATGGAGCGCTACAGGGCATGCAAGGTATGTTGCTCCACATGTGGCATTAATTTGGTGGGCCTGACAGTGGCTGCAGACATGTCTTGCTGATCAGCATGTGCATTTTGGTGACCTTTATTTGTGGGATGTAAGTCTATTCTGTTCCTATATGTCCAGCCTGTCTGAAAAATTAAGGGGGCTCACCTACCAGCATCTTCCATGCAGTTGTAAGCAACTTCAGGAGGTCACTTTTTAAAATTCTTACAGTTTCCCACTTAAAACCTGAAATCTTTCCATAAAAGATTCATCATTGTTTCACTATTTGTCTTCATTTGTTGTTCAAGCAAGCTGCGTTTGTAACTCACAGGAAGGCATCTGGAGCAGCAAGATTTAGCCGATCACTGCATATTCAGATGAGCTGTGTATATTATGCATAGTGGTCCACAAAATAACAACTGGTGTTGAGTGGGTTTACCTTAAGTTCAGTCAATCATGCACTGGTGGCTTTTCTTCAGCTGCTGCTGCTCTTGCAGTAACGATTGGGATGCAGAGCCTGATGGCAGTCTGTAAGTTCTCCTGCTGCCCCGAAGCTCAACAACGTAAGCTGATTGACTCAGTTAGGGCTCCAGTCTCTAACAGCAAATGCAATCAATAAATCTTTGTTGGTAAATAATTGCTATTGAACAGAGTTTTAATATAAATTTATGAGTGGTGTTTTATCACAGCTTGAGGCTACAGCAAGCCACTGAGTGATGGATTTCAGATAACACTTACATTCATTACATTAACTTTGTAAGTTATTTAAAGCTTGTACACTTAACATTGCTTTTGGCTTGCAATGACCTCCTGGGACTAGATGTAGCATACATATTGCTCATAAAGAGCTCACAGTGCGTACAGACTGTTCCTCCGTTTGCTTTCTACAGTGACGCAGTTCCTCGAGCAAAACCCAAGAAGTGAAGTTCATGCACTCCGGTTGAAGTGTTTTTCCTGTGGCTCATTAAAAGTACAAGCTAGTGCAGTGTGGTAGGAGAAGAGTTCCTCTGTTAGACAGAGAATTGCAATTTTGGAGGGAAGGTGGTAAAAAATTTAATTTGAAGTGTGAAATTCTTCTCAGTTTGTGAGGAAATTGGAGGTGTTAAATTCTTAGTGTTGAATCTGGAGGCTTTGGGTCAGCTACCCTGAACTGTGGGGCTAAAGTTGCAGCTGGAAGACTGTAACAAATGAAAGATTTCATCAAATTAGGAGAAATAATGTTACCTGATTAATAATCATTTGAGGCAGAGATTATTTCAAACTGGTATGTTGAAGTTCATTTACTTAGTCCCTTAGCACGTAGCTTGGGGACTAAATGTGATTTTTCTGGTGTGCTGTGTGTACATGGGGGCCTGTTTGGCTGTGACTGGAGACATGCCCAAGCCACCTCTAAATTGCCTCGGAGGTACCAAAGGTCAGTGAGAACCGATGTGTCTTGTTTCCTAGGCAGAGTATCTGATGTGACTTCAATGTAGACATAATGTGACTGAATTGAAGGGCTTTTTCTTTTTTTTTGAAGTAATGTTTCTTGTCATATCTGGGCCTTTTTTTTTTTTTTTTTAATTAAGTGTAGTTAATGTTAAAGTGCATTTAGAACTGATCTAAACTCCAATACTAAGAGCATTTCTCCAGACCATTCTATGTAATTACCACAGACAAAGCGGTGGTCTCTGGCTCGGGGGGGGGGGGGAAAGAGGGGATGGGCTTCTCTGCTTCATGACACTTTAAGTTAGCTCCGTGTACTCAGAGCAGTTTCCTCTGCAGGTACTGGAAGATATTTTTAATTCTTACATAAAATGAAAACCTATTCTTTTTGCAAAGGCAGTGCCTAAAGAAAATGAGTTGGGAAGTCTGGTTTGTTAGTTAGGCACAAGTAGGTACATTGTCCATATTCAGTGCTGAGATGTTTGTTGGTTTTTTTTTTAACGTGAAAGCATGGAATTCCACTTTAGAAGCAAGGTGAAATCTCCTTTTGGATAATTTTCTTCATTTAGATCCAAAAATAGAATTTCATAATTCACACCTAGATAGTAGCAAAACTTCTGTGTAGGAAAAATCATGGAAGTGGTAGGGGTTTACTATTTATAATGAGTTTATAATCAGCATGAATTGAAAATTATGTAAGTAATGACACATTTTCTGTATAGCAAAGGGACAGTTTAAAAAGCATGAAATATATATGTATTTTACTTTCTTCAAAACTTGAAAAAAGGCGGGGGGGGGCGGGGGGCGGCAGGGAATTGCCATTGTGATCCTTACAGCTTTTTCCACATTAAAAGCTCTGAAGAACAAACCAGTGCAGGGAAGCAGTAATTTTTGATCCCCACAGCACAGCAATAATTAGAATTGGGTGCCCCTAAGCGCGAGCGAACATGCTGCAGGTGAGGTATGAAAGATTGGAAAGGTGAAGTGACAGATCACCTATTATAGACAAACATACAAGTCAAAGGCAGAAATAAGCTTTCATTTTTTAATAGAAGAAAACAACGTCTCTAACCACTGGAAGGCAGTAATTGGGATGTGCAACTCATACACACAGAAGCTTTTGTAAGAAAGTGTTTCAGAAACCCCATTCTCTCTTGTAAAAGTTTGAGTTGTAGCAAGGAACAGCACCAAAAAAAGAGAAACGTGACCCCCAGATGGTCAGAAAGTTCGGAGTTTGTACCACTGTGTAATTTAGTCATCTGACACAAGCTTTTCTTTATGGTCCTATCCACAGATTGCTTTGAATTGTGATGGGTTGTTCTCTGAAGTTTTATTCAAAGTGTCTGTCCAGGAACAGGCAGCTGTGAACTTGGCTTTTCCGCTGGGATCATATCTGTGGTTGTTAGTTTCTATGGATTGTGGCAAGGGGCTTCAGCTGAACGTTATGACATCGGGAATTTGCCTAGCTCTGGAGGACTTCTACTTGTGCAGAGCGGCCCCTCGTCCCCTCGTGGCTTTGGGACTGAGTCTGCAGAGAGATTGCTTTATAAAGCTGCAGGTGTAATGGGAAAACAGGTAGCATCACTTGCTTTCAAGGTTTTACCCTGCTTTAACAAAGACAACTCCATGAGAGTTGGAAGCACCATGCTTGATAGAAAGATGCACTGTCTTCTGCCTTCTCGGTTTTTTAAGTTCCATGCAAAATGAGAATGGAAAAGCTTGTTTTATGGGGATTAGAGAACTGAAGTTTGTATTGGTTTAGATTCCTGGTTATGATTTAACAAAATGAATATAAGTGTCCTCTTTTATTGAAAGTTGATCTGTGGAGCTAGTGAGCCCCTGTGGTAGGTGTATTGTACAGAGTGTCTTCACTGGGACATTTCAGTAAGACTTTCAGTAACCGAAGTGTACTGTATGAATTCATTAGGAACTGCCTTCTGACCTGGTTTTGGAAATTAAAATTTACTAGGGAAGTGCATTGCTAAAACTTGACTTGGTTTACCACCTTCAGTGTGCTCCAGCATGTTACATTTTGCTTTTCTGTGACTTTCTGCTTTTAAACTGAGAACAGGTTAACATGCAGTAGTAGTTCTTGTCCATGTGAACACGATGATGACTTTCTGTCTCAGCTGTTGATTGTTACCATTCATCACTGATGTTTAGGTTGAATATGATTTGTGGAAAGGTGAGTCACCTTGACCACCTCCTTTCCTCTCTGGTCACACCTCTTCCATTAAATTATCCAAAATTTATTGGAAAAACATTGTATTTGCCCCATTTCAATTTTGCTGCTCTTACCTGGAATTGGTGTCTCTCTTGCTGGAGTGAATAGCTAGGAGGATTTCCCTTGCAGTGTCACCTTACTGGGGATGAGAACATAAATGTGTCCTTTTCCCTGCTTGTGGGGAGACTGAGCCTGGACAACAAGGAATCCCCAGGAACGTGCTGAAGCGAGCACAAGCCACACAGTACGATCCTCACTCAACGTGGGGTTCATAATTTATTTTAGAGGGCTAGGAAATGCACTGAGTGTGGTGTCTATCCACTAGGAGTGCATACGGGTCACCTTGCTCTGTGTCACATTAAAATGTGCTTTCCTGAGGCATGGAATTCAGTGCAAAAGGGTTTTCTCTACCTGTTGGACAAAGCCAGCGCTGGTACAGTCTTTTCTGTTTACATGATTTGCTTTATGAAAGCCTCACTTAAGAGTTGCCCTCCTAAATTGCAAACACCGAAGATGCCGATGGACAAAAGGTGCATCGTGGGAGAAGTGGGGGGAAATAAATAACTTTCAGGAGAAAGCATATCTAAAAATGTTGGCAATTATATTTATCTCTTTCTGTGTCTTAAATAGTTGTGCATTGGCAAAAGGGTGTTCAACCTTTTTTCATTTTTCCTCTGATAGGGTATGCTGCTAAAGCGAAGTGGCAAGTCGTTGAATAAAGAGTGGAAGAAGAAATATGTGACATTGTGCGACAATGGTGTGCTGACCTACCATCCTAGTTTACACGTGAGTACCCCTTACTCTCTGAATATTCAGCAACATCAGGCCCTGATAAAGCAGCGTTAGCAAGTTCGTCCTGACATGGTTTTGTTGAATCCTCTTTGGTGGAGGAACTTCTTTCTGTTCATTCTCCTCCCTCTCAGAAGCAAGCAATCTGAAATAAAATTCGCTGGTGCAGGTCTGACTATAGTCAAGTTCCTTAGAATCCCCTGGAACTGGGGTTCCCTTACATCCCAGAGGCAGCTGAAATGGTTTAAGCCTTTATTTTGTGCTGATGATTCTGTGTACTTGTTGTTGCTCCCAGGATTAAAGAACATAAGCATTTTACAAGAAAATGTGTCCTAGATGTAGTAGAGTGAGGAAAGTCTCTGGCATTTGTCAGTGTGCAGTCATTACAGAGAAGTAATTCTGAGCAGCCTCTTGAAAATGGCATAGCGATTAAAAATATGCACCATGTTAAGGCATCTATTGTTGTCTCTGCCCAAGGACCCTGTCTGTCCCTCTACTCTGTGTAGCCCAGTCCCTAGGTACGGTTTTGGGAGTGGAAGGAGGACAGTCATCTGACTCAGAACTAGCCCACCTTATCTGCCTCGGCCATGCCAGCAGGAGGAAAGGTGAGGTTTGTCAGAGCTCATTTCGTGCCAGAGTGGTACAAAAAAGCCGATGTGGAGACTCCAGATCTTGAAACTCCATGGGGATTCCCAGCTCCTTCACTTGTTCTGTAGTACAAGCAACGGTAAAATACAAAAAACGTGGTGTAACCCTCACCAACATCTTTAAAATCATATCTGGTCTTGCATTTTATCATCATACCACATGCGAAAATCGGAGGGTGGTCAGTTGTAACATTTTTAGGGCCAGTTATTTCTAAATCTCTTAGTATCATTTTGAGCGCCTGGGCAATTTCTCATTAAGGAGTGGAAAAAAAAAAAGGTTTCCATCAGCTGTATTTCTGCTGATATGATCTGGGACTTACAGACCTGCGCGTGGAACTGGTAGGAAACTTCTACTTTAGGTGGGTAATGTTGAGGAGTATGGCCACACGGATGCTGTGCTTGCACCAACTAGCTGTTCTGGCTGCTGAATATCAGCACTTTCTCTGGCTTGACACAAGGTTTCATAGTCTCAGATGCTGCCATAATAATGCTTTGCTCTAGTTTCTGATGTTGCATCTGTGTCTCTTAAAAATTATTTAATAAGTTAACTTCACGGCATTGCTGCTTTCCATCAGAAATCTTATCCCTCAGCCCTTATGTTCTGGAACAAGGTTTTCAGTGTTTATTTTTGTGAAACTGTACAAGTCTGTCCTCTTTGGCCCCTCTTAGTGCCTTTAAATTTGGTGAATTCTGCCATGAAGTAGTCCCGAAATACCTGACTTGTGTATTGGTATTGCTTACGGAAGGGAAGCACGGATACTGCATGCTTTTGAGGCAGCCCCCATGGAGCTCCCACATGAGTTTCCCTTAGATTGTGTTGGCCAGCTCTGGGTCATCAGGAAGGAGGCGGCAAGCTGCCATTGTCTGCACCCAAGTCCCTTCCTTGCTTTGTAGAAGTGCTCTGTTGTTCCTGGCAGTTGCTGTGCACGTGTTAGTTTTTTATTGCCTCTTGCAGACAATAGAGTACTTCTCTGTAGGCTTCCCTGGAGCTGCTTAGTCTCCCCCAGAGTGAGAATCCATTGAGATTAGAGGTAATTACTTTGAGATTAGAGGTAAATCCATTGGAGATTAGAGAGAATCCATTTAAAGAAGTAGTAATTACTAGCCTGTAACTGTTTCCCTCTATCCCTCACCATGCCCCTCCACCCCAAGAAAAAGGTACACGACTCTGTATTTCCCATTTGCTCAGACCTCCTCGTGTAGATGGGGAAGGTTTGTAACGTGCTACTTGTCCCTTGGCTGTATGGTAGGAAGTGATGAGGGACCATACTCGGCTCCTAGCTGGCAAGAAGCTACTGGGGAAAATGTCATGCTCATTCAGTGGCTTCTTGAGACTCCATCACTGAACTCACTCTCTAGAAGGATCTTGGGTTCTGCTCATTTGTGTTAAAATCTTTCTGTGACAGGATTGGTATCATAAACAATGTCTGGTTTCATGCCTTATTTCTATTGTCTTTAGCCTTCAAAGAGTTGCTGCACTACTTCTGCAGTATATTTCCATACTGGCAATGGACTATTTATTGTCAATTAACTGTTGTTAATATACCCTGCAGAACATTTGTCATTCATCAGGCAGTACTATGTGAGTAGCATCTCCTCTGCCCTCTGCAAACCACAGTGGGAGGAAGAGGCAGAACCAGATACTTAAAGGCAATTGCACTCCCAGTACAGTTTGTACAAATCTTTGTAGGCAAAAAAGTCAGAATTTCCTCTTGGGTATTGCCGAGTGAATGAGTTTTCCCCCAAACAGGACTCTGCTAATATGTTTCTAGTTTGGTTGTGCTGGGTTTTATTTATCTGTAACTGCTTGTTGCTTTTTTCTCAGCAAGCCGAAGAAGTTGATGAATTTTTAATATTGTGCTTTGCTTTTGGGATAATTTCTTCCATCATTTTGAAAAATAAGGACCTTGTTGCTACCAACCTTCCCATTAAATATCATTGAAGAAAAGAACTTTTGTTAACCATCTAAAGTCAGTTTCCTAAACTCATAAAGAGCCTGGCTCTAATCTGACTTGTTAGTGAGATTTGGGTTATCTCAAGTGTGCAGGTAATTTTAGTTATACAAAATTTTGCAGTTGTAATTCTGTGAAGCGAAAGGTGGGCTGGCCTCTAGTGGTGGCAGAAGTAGTGAATTTAGAAGATAATTTGGTCCTTCCAGACTGTGGTTTGGGTCAGAACATGACATCTGCATTGGAAGAACGTATTATAGTATTTAATGGCTGACAGCGAGCACTGTATTAAATATTGCTTGAGATTTGGCCCGAAGTGGATCGGTTGTCTCTGTCAGATGCGTTCAGTGGCAGCTCAGGAGCGAAGGCAGTGTTTTTAATATAGAGAACGTGTCCGTAGTGCAGAAATCAGTTCAGTCACCCTCCTTGAAAGAATTGGCTACAAAATGAAAAGTTTTGGAGTGGGGAGTGATAAATCAAATTAGTACCTTTCTTACTGAGGAGGTGTCCCTGGAAGGGTCAGGCCTGTTTGGCAGGGCAGCATGTTGAAATGACTGCTGTATTGTGCCAGCTAAATGAGTAACTACTAATGCTACCAGGTTGATGTTTGACATAATAGCTAAATTCATATTCTTTCTTTTCGAGAAAGTGGGGGGAGAGAAAAATGGGGAGAGAAAGATACATGTACATAAGCACCCTACCGTTTTCTGACTTTGTCTTGTCAGTTTTTTTCAAGAGCCTCAAACCTTCCTGTCCCTTGGGATGCTGAGGATCTATGCCGATAGAAAATGGTGGGGATAATGAGAGAGAACTTTGACCTGAAGGCTTCAAAGTTCACCATAGCTACCTATTCATCTTACGCTTCTGGAGTACAGCCATTGAGCAGATGACTAAAATTCTGGCCGACAAATTCAGTGTCAGCCTCCCCCAAGGGCCCCAGGGGAATTTGTCTAGGCATCTCTTGGCTTTTAATGGCAGAATGCCATGTGTGAGGGCTCCCGAAATGTATTCACCAGGATACCTGCTGGGCAGCGTTACATGCCTCTTCTTTATCTAAGCCTAATCCTGATGAATAACTAATGATGTTTCACCACTGTCTGTCTGCCGGAGCGTTGCCATCATGCCACAGGTCAGGAGATGACAAAGCTTTAGCTATGGATGTCCATTTTCTGCTCTTGTATCCCCATCATCATCACTGTCCCTCATTTATAAAAAGAAGAAAGAAAGAAAAAAAAAAAGCTGAAAACAGCTTTTTTTAGGGAAGGGCACTTTTTTCCCCTGTTATATTTAATCTCTTCTAGATTTGATTTCAAATGCTGTGGCACCTCATGGGGGAAGAACAGCTTCTTAAATACATGACAAGGAAGTTTTGGTGCCCATCTAGGACGTGCATGGTATGTAAATCCCATGTGCCTGCGCAGCAAGGTTGATTTTTGCTTGCTGAGGTCTGTGTTGCAGTAATGCCGCTCTTTAACCTTGCTCCCATCCTCACTGATCTGGTTTGATAACCTGTGGTGAGGTGTGTAGGGTTGTAGCAGTGGTCAAGGAGGGGAGACCTGCTTAATTCATCTGACGATAGCCACAGTTTCAAAACTCTTCCTTAAAAATAGCGCTGACTGGGTGAGCAGCCGTCGTGAGCTAGCTCGAAGGGAGCATTAGCAGTGGTGTTCTATCCTCAAATAAAGTGAATGTATTTTTTAAGATACAGCAAAATTTCAGCCTGATAAGGAGTTGTATCCAACACTAGGCTAAACTTTGCGCAAGAGCGCCATCAGTATATTATAAATACGCATCTTCTCAGAAGATGATGCGAAACAGACCCAACTCATGGGCATGTAAAATGCTTTGAGACTTGGGGTGGGGGACTGGGCCTTCTGTTGAGCTTTCTTTGCTTGACTGGTTCCTCCAGGAAAAGCAGACTTGCTGAGAAATAGGAGGCTGTTGAAAATGTCCTCTCTGTTGGTATCTGGAAGTGTTGTAGATCCATGGACTTTCTCAGGTCCCATAATATGCAGCGTTTTTCTTACAGCTGCAGTTGAAATTTTTGTCCATTATCAATTCTTACGGTTTTCCTGAATAATTTGAAAAAGGAAAGCATGCTTGCAAATAAAGTATTCCATCTCTCCGCATTTCTAAGAGAACGCTGTGCTAGCCAGGCTGCATGGCATCTTCGTGCGTGGCCCACCAACAGTGGGGCTGTCTGGCAGCAGAGCCGGGTGCTGCTGGGCCAGGGGAGCAGCGCTTGCCTTTGTCAGTACAAATAATCGCCTGCAGACATCGTTTCGGTACAGCCTTATTTTCAGGGTCGCGTTACCTCGGGCTATTTAATAGCACCGAAGTGTGTTGTTTGTGTTGCTTTAATAGAAATATTCATGCTCTTATATATTTCTAAAATACCATC